TGATTAGTTCTAAGGACAAATAAAAGTACTTGCCATCTAAACCCTCCTTGGAAGTATAGCTAACGCATCCTTCCACATCGCTCCAAATAACATTTCTCTCAGTTTCTCTCGGTAAACTGAAACCAAAGTAGTCATGTTTCTGCCTGCCTGGCCTACTAACCGTCGAGCTTGGCTTGTTAGCTTTTTGGTTTCCCACACATGAAACTTGTTATCTCAAAACTGAGGATGGAAGAGGCACTCCAGTCCATGTGCCTTTAGATTTTTTTTAACTTAATCTTATACCTGATGACACAAAAGTCTGTTTGCGTTTATGCTGATCAAAGGTGGAGTTCCCTCTTGCAGGTCACTGTGTTTTGCTGCTGCGGGAATTTCCAGAAAGAATTAGATAACAGAATGGAAAAGCTGTGCGTGGATGTGGAGTCTGTACTGCTCCAGCAGTAAGAACCCGAGGGCTGAAAGCATCTGTGCCATGTTGGGAAGGATATAGCAGAGCAGCACTCCATCCATACCTGATAGGCAGGGTACGCTGCACCAAGGGACAGTGATGGAAGTGCCTGCAGGTGCATCAGTTTCCTTTCCCTTTCTCCTTTCTCTTCTCCCTCTGTCCACACCTACAGCCCTGATCATGCCAATCATTGTAGTCTGGGGGACAAGGTGATTAGTAAGCTTTTCAAATCTTCTTTTCAAAAAGAAGAAAGTCTGAAAACCCTCAGCATCATTTTCCACAGCTAAAGGCCCCTCTGCATTAGTTACATCCCTTTTGAAGTCTGGGATGATTGTGTTGGTTGGTTTTAGGGAGTGGGGTTTTTTTCCCTGTGTCCTAAGCAACTTCGAATTTCTATAAATTAGAAACACATTTAAGTTTTGGAAAACAATTGTTTGGCAGTTGTTTTTACGAGAAAAACATACTGCAAACACAACTCCAGACTGTGCTACAAAGACTTTTCAGGTTGGATTGTACTGAGCAACACAGGACCAGCCTAAATACTTGAGCAAACTGGCACATCAGCCAAGCCCAGCACACAAAGCCAAGATCTTAGACACAGTTTACATGTAAACGTGATAATAGGCTTGCACTGATTAGTCTCCCAACCAAGGTAATCTGGGAATAAATCCACGAGGGTTTTGAATTTTGAGGGAGTCCAAGATGACCATTTTTTTCAGCTACAGAACTATAACTGGTTCACAAAATGTTGCATGGATGTAGGCAGGTAACAGTAGAAGCTTAATACTTGTGCATGAAAATAAAGAATAAGTAAAACTGCTGAGGTGACTGCTGAGTCCACGAAGATAAAGCCACTTCAAAGAGTTATTCGCTCCTTCCAATAACCTTGAGGGGCAACGGATGACAATTAAGTGTTTTGTCACTACAAATTGCTTCAAAACTAATTTAGAGATAGCATAGTCTCACAGCCCAGAGAGATGCTATTTTTTCATTTAATCCGGATAACACACTAGTGACTAGCCAAACCACTAAATCCATTAATGACATAGATTATTTTTCAAATCACAAAAAATCACATCTGTTAACTGTAGACTGTGTTTGTTTTCCTGTGTAAAGTACTTGCATTTGATTAACACGAATAAGGACAAAGCCTTTTCCAGAAGTGAATGTTGACTCAGGATGGCTCTAAACTTCATACGCTCTCTCTGAAAGCACCTGAGATAAGCACATTTTCAAACAGCACTGAGAAGGCACCCACTAAGCAAAACCCTGTCCCTTTGCAGTGTTGTATACAGTTACCTCAAAACTGCCAAACAGGGTACCATTTGAAAGAGCTTAAATTTCAAAAGATGTATAATGTTAAATTGACAGTGAAAATTTGGGAACTCCCGCAATTTGTAAGATCAGACAAAGAGTTCAATAGTTAACCAGGTCCCTAAGACTTAAGATACAGTTACAAAGAGAAATGCATAAAATCTTACTTCTTTGACCTTTATTAAATTAGGATTTTTAAAGATATAAAGTGGACAATAGCAGCATCAAAAATCTCATTTTATACCTTCAAGGGTCTGTGCAAACATCCTCTGTTTACTAACAAACGACAACAAATTAGCTTTCAGCAGATTAGATAGGAAGTCTGTATGGCACATTATGTCACGTTATTTATAGTGATTAAGGAAGCTAGGAGAATTTGGGAACAGAAGAGAGAAAGCTGGTTTTGATTTTCTGATATAAACCCTTACGATAGAGTATCATGCTGTTCCGTCTGTCTGGTAAAGACTTGTGGTAAAGACCATGGGGAAGTGCAAATATGGGAAGTAACATCTGTAAAGTCCTGGTTTAGAATTTGAGCACCATCAATACACAAAACTCACTGTGCTCTCACGTTCAGTGGTACAGTATATGCTGAACTTTCAATGAAAACAGGAAAAAAACCAAACCTTATTTGCTTTATCTTCAGTATATTTTTTTGTCTACATTTTGCTTTTCATTGAATTGCAAAAGCCCGAAGTTACATGTTTGTCTGGGTCTCCTGCTCGTTAGTTTTTCTCATACATAGACCTAAAGTTATATTATAGAAAGTGCTTCAAAGTACACACAATACGCAAATGGATTAAATCCCTCACCGTTCAGAACCTAAATTACCTTCAAAGCATTGAAGTAATAGAGACAAGGTGTGCTAGGATTATATCATGATGACAAAATAGAGATATTTCTAGCATGGAGTTCAAATAAGCCCTTCCAGACATATACTAGTCATATTTTCATTTGACAACTTCTTTTTTTTTTTTTTTCTTTTTTTTTTTTCCAGTATTCCAAGTTCATGTAATAACGAGCCTTTAAACTGAGGTTCCAGGTCTGGTAGGCAAGAGGTTCAGTATGGATATAACCTGGGGAAAATTCCATATTTGAGGACATGCATTCTTGGTGTGTGTTTGAAGTCACGCAAATATTGAGGATGTGAGGAAGAGAGGAGCAGGCAGGATCATCATGCAGTACATTGCCCCCTTCCATTGTCGCTTTGATCATCCTCAATGCTGTCAAAGCCAAATGAGACTGTCTCACTTGACTTGACAAGAGCAAGCATAGTTTTGCCTGCAGCTGACTAGGACTCTTTCTCCAGTAGTAAAGTGTTTATTATATCAACTCTTAAGCTTCATGCAAAAAAGCAGAATAATCCCCATGGGTTCAGCTACAACCTTTCTTGTGGGATTTGCTTATTGGCTTCCTATAGCAACATATCCAAGTACCAGTTAGCCTTAACCTTGCTTACTCAGAGAGCCAACAGTACATCAAACAGACTGTTATAGTGTATAGTTACAATATATAGTTATAGTATAAGTTACAATCTGTAGTTATAGTATAAGGTATAATCCATTGAAACCACAGAGCACCCCCGTCAGATGCTCAGTATTTTCCAAGCTGAATTAAGTGGGATTTCTAGAACTGAGGGGGGTAACTTTGGGCTACCTCAAAATGGCTAAGCAGCTCAAAGAAATCAGAGACTGTATTTTGCCCTCTGCATTTGGCAGAAAAAAATAATACTCTCTTCTCTTTTTAGGCACACCCCAAAATACTTGTGATTATAATCATCAGAAAGATCGGGAATTCTTTCTTTCAGCTGAATAGATGTATGGTAAAAATTCCAGTTTTGTATTCTATCAAGACTCAGTTTTTGCTCTCAGGATGTGTCATGTTCTTACCACTGAAAAGAAGGCTTGCTCTTCTGTGATATCCAGAGAGCAGAATGAGTAGTTAAGTATCAAGACGGCAGCATTTCATACTGTTTTTGAAGAAGTTTATGAAAATTATTTCCTGTTATCAAAAAGATAGTGTCCAAAAGTGCTGTTCCGTTTATAAGATTCCATTGTTGGAAATACTAAGGGTTCTCTCTTCTCCTGGACAAACAGCCTCTGTAAGGTCACATAATCCTCTAGACATAGCAAATGACAAAGACATTTTTGGATGATGATGTCTAAGTGTTCATTACAAACTCTCTACATTATTTACACTTTCTCTCTCTCTGTTCCTATCACTATCCTGAGAATTTTATTAGTAATACAGGATAGAAGATTATAAGCATTAAAATGTTATGTAGTGGACATAAGAAGCCTGCATGGATCTCTGCTGAATGAGACATTGAAAACCTGCTTGTCTCTTCATGCTTATTTTTTTTGGTGTGACTTCCATGAGACTACATGGCAATGTTTTATATATAAAACTGTTCTTCTACCAACATGTAGCCATTCTGTTCTGTGGTTTAGGGTCCTGAAAGCTTCAATTCTATTCCTCTGAAATCTGCTTGAAAGAATAATCTATTCTGTAGAAACGCTGCTTACATTCCTTGCCAGGTTTTTGCATGCAAGTAACAATTAGTTGGTGTGGTTGTAAGGACGAGTGCTCCCTTTTTTTAAGGGGCTGCTTAATGTTCTGCTCTCACACCATAAATTTAGTGAAAATTATTCAAGTTCTCACAAATGTAATAATAATGGCTTTTTAAACTGAATTTTGTTTCTACAAAATTGAAAACTATTTAAATATAAAACATGATTTTGGTGAAAAAGTAAATGGTTCGCTTTTGAAATAATGTGACAATATTTTAATAAGAAAAGTCTGAAACTGAACACAACACCTATGCAAAAGGAATTATACCTGTTCCTAATATGAATAGAGGAATTAATAAAATGAAACAATATAATTTAAAAATAATTACCGTATTTATTTTCTATTAAAAAGGACAGTACATATACATTTAAAACATAAATATCAAAATTATTGCAGTTAGGCAACTAGCTTTATTTGGCAGCAATATTTTACAACATCATCGTGCAATAATACGCCTTGGCAGATTAAACTCCCCAAAATCCATGATGTGTACCTTTTCTGTTTACATCATAAATCATCCTACAACAGTAAGATAATTGTTCTGGCATATGTATAAAATGTCATTACGATACATGCTTTATGAAAGCTGGACAGAGGAAAGAAGAGAGATTGTCTCTTAATGCTTTCCTTACACCTTTGACTCAAACAAATTTAAGCAACAGATATTTACTCTCCCATCTGCAGTCATTTAACATGGGCAGTTCCAAGTATACATTCAAATACACATATATTAAGAGGATTTGTTATAAAAGCAACAGCTATTTATAGGCAGTTTCAAATACACAATCTTCTGTATGTCTTTGAAAAATGAATGTCCCAGTTTACTCTATAAAAAAATAAGAGTTCTTCCAAAGGTAAATAGCCTTAATTAGAATGCGATTCTGTGAATGTCCCAAAAAGTTTGTCCCAGTGAGTGAAGTAAGGAGCATAGTTTGATTTGAATTTCAGATGATGGAGATCATGATGTGGTGCTCCTCCATACAAACCAAAAGGCACAAGTCGGTGAGTTGACCACGGAAGGTCGTATCCTGAATGATCCTCCACTGATAGCCAAATGTTTACAAGGAAGAAGATAATTTCTGTCAAAGGATGGCATCCGAGGAGCACTGGGTTGATAGCAGCAAAAAATCCCAGCGAGAGCAATTCCCATACACTGGAATACTGTGTAGTAAGAGCAAACGTTGACACGTGCTTGTGATGCACCTTGTGGAAGGTCTTGTAGAGCCAAGGCACCTTGTGATGAAGCAAGTGCCACAGGAAGTACTCAAAATCAAATAGAAGCAGGCAAACTCCTACTTCCAGCAGGACCTCAGGCAGCTCTGGAGCTATCACTGGTAAATTCATTGGCCTCCAGTACCAGTGGATAAATGTCACTGGGAAGATCAGAACAACATGGTGATACGCACTTTGAATAATGCAAGGCACCATCACTCCAAGAGTTGGATAGTTTTGCGGCTGGATTTTGTATTTTCTCAAGTTTGGTAGTCTAGCGCCTAAAAAGTCCAGTGCAATATATGGAAGACAGAAAGCCATGTATGCTGTGAAAGAAAACAGCACTGGAAAAAATGGTGACTTGATGAATGGCTCCTTTGCTGTGACAAAGTCCCAAAGAGACTGAAGGCACAACCTATCCTGCTGTCCAGCCATCGGGTAGCAGAGAGGCACTCTGTCTGGCAGGCTGCAGTTCATGCTGATTGCAGTCTGAAAGGTCTGTAAATCCTGCAAGCCTTTATCCAGGCTGCTCGGAGGGACAACTCCGCCCCTCAGAAATCCTCCTTACTTAGTCATACGTAGCCTTAAAGAGGAAGTTTCCTTTCCTGTCGTACAGAAATGGTATAATGCATTACAATCTCAGAACAGAAGTAGCTGGCCGGGGTAATTGCTGGAGCTCTACAAGAGACTTGTGTGATAGGAAAAATAAGCAGAAAGGTAGAAGTCTAACACTAGAATTCAGAGAAAGAGGGTAGGAACATTTTTCACTCTACTTAGCGCACACACTTGAAAAACTGCTGTGTCTTACTAATTTCAAATTGTGTCACCCTTTGTTATCTTTTGCCTTTACACGTAAATGCAACTTACCATTGATTTTTTTATGTGACTGCTACCAAAGATGTACGTGTACCTAAACCCCAGGTCTGACCTGTGGATGTTTGGTGGGTAATGGATGTGTGCAAACACACATTTTCTTAATGATCCCTTGGATATGCAATAGGCTAAGTCAAAACCTTAAGGAGACCCACACTATGCTTCCAGTCTGAATGTGATGGCTATGACTTATCTCCATCTACTTTTGAGGTCATGTTCTCCTTTATGCTCCTGTATCTACTTGACATGGCAAAATCCACATGACTTGACTAGATGCAAAATTGAGCCAACAACTTTTGGAGAACAAAATATCCCCCAGCTGTTGGGAAGAATATAAGGTAAAATCTCACTGTGCTTCCAAACAGATACTTAGTGACAAGTATTATTGCATAATTAAAATAGTCACTCCACATCTCAACAGCCCTTTGAGCAATATGACATGGAAATCATCCTTTACCCAAGTATCAAACTGACTTATGCAATTAAAAGATCCACTGGTTAGACTTACGTCCTTTAAAGGTTCTTGCTTTGACCACAGGCAAGCAAACAGCAGACAGAAGCTAGCAGGCTTGGCTCTCAACATTTCTAATTTGCTAAAAGTATTTTAGGGGTAAATGATGGAGGTTTTGATTTAACCACTAAGATATCACTTCTTTTGTGCTTTTAGAAAAAGACAAACAAAGCTTTGAACATTTAGGGAAACAGAACTTGCCATCAGCTTCCTATGAACTCACCTCTTTTGTAGGTACAGCATTTATTCTAATACTGGAAATGAGCTCAACTTCCTGGATGACTTTATTAGCTTGTCAGATTATTTTAGTTCTTTGCTATTCAGCAAAGAAACCTGATGGTGGGAAATGGGAGACAGAATTTCCTTGCTTCTCAGTAATTAAGAACGATCAAATAGCAGTGACCTTTTCTGAACTATGCATGAACTTCTAATACTTAAGTTTGCTTTCAGTCTCAACTGTTTTCAAGAGATTCTGCTCTTAAGTGCAGATTTTGCTCTCTCCTTAGACTTCAAGGCATTTACTGAAACAGTAACATTATCTGTGCTGTTATGCAGTCAATCAGAAGTTCTTTGTTAGAGACAGGTATAGTACAGCCTTCAAAGAACCTAATTGTTGCATATACATTTTACAAATATATTCAGATTCTCTGTAATTGTAAGACTGTTCTATTGAACTCAATTGATTCAGACTGTTGAATGTAGTGAAACTAAAACCCAGTAAGAGACACTAATTTAATGGATGAGGATCTATATCCAAGAACTTGATTTCAATCTTCTGATTGTATTTTATCCTGACCTCCATTTCACAATAAGGACATAAAAAATGCATTTGTAACTCAATCGCCGTCTGGGGCTAAAAATATTCTTGTGAGAGATGCTTTCTGTTGATTTATGTAGTTACAATCAGAAATTAAGCTTCCCAGATGGGATATCTGATTCTCTATTAGAATTATTCAGGGACTAAATTTATGCTATAACATATTCCAAATCTGCCTAAAGGGAGATTGACAGAAATTGCTCAGCTGCTCTAAAGACATCCCTCCAACTAATCACCATATGAAGTCTCAAGAAGTTTTAGAACCACTGATGCCTATAAGCTAAAGTTTAAAGAACAGGCATTTTGCCTGCAGATTAGGTCATAGAAAAATATTCTGAAGTCCCTTAAGGAAATATAACAGAATTCTGCAGTCCTATGACTGACACATCCCACAGCATACAGCGCAGGCAAGGCGCAAGGCAGCAGGATTCAGGTGGGCGCCTGGCGCAGCCCCACTCCCCCTGCCAGTGCTACGCAGGAGGGGTCTGCTGGCCAGCGGGAACCCTCATGCATCACAGGGGGCAAACCCTCGGCTTCCAGAAACCGAGTTCAAGTGGTTTGGCTCAGCCACCAAAGAGCACTTACCACGTATTTCCACGCCACTAACTTAGGTTTCTTTGTCAGTGCAAGGTACAATGTGAAGAAAAGACAAAGTACGCGTAAATCCTTTCTGTACTTCATTCAGCAACACAACCCCAGCTTTTTTCACTCAGCTTACGATGCTGCCAAAATTTCCCATGTGTTACAAGACTCTAAACGGGTCTCTCAAAAAATCAAGGCTTCTGCTACAGAGTTTAGGTTGAAGGGCACATAGTTTGGAATGAGGCCCCGCAAAGGGTCTTAAATAGATTCCACATGAGCACAAGACGCAAGCACCTACCCCAGGCTCCACTGTTAGGGACAAGCTATAAGGTAAATAGCAAAACACTAAGTGGGTAGGAAAAGGTGGAAAAATTAGCAAGAGGGAAATCCAAGATCAACGTACTGAAGAAACTAATGTCACAGCAGAAGCAAAATTTCTTTTTCCCTCCTCCTATTCTCCCCCTCTGTACGGTAGGATAATTGTTGTACCAGAGATAAGGCAACATCCCAGTGCATGCTGAGCCTTCCAGCAGAAAGAAGATGCTAGGGATGGGGGTTGATAACTTGCTAAGGACAGCAGGAGGGAAGCAGGATAGTAACCAGAGCAAAGGCAGACAGAGGCACCCCCTTCTCTCACTTTAAAAGAAATTGTTACCGTGCTGGAAAAACACAATAAACCTGAGGCCCTCACATCCTAACTCACC